CCCGTGTGGTCCCACTCACTGAGGGACATGCTGCCCCCAGGTGTGGATGGTGACAGGATACTCCCATGGGGTCGTGGGCAGGACCTGGCCGTGTGGGGCCTGGGAGGCTGCGACCTGACTCCTGCGATTTCAGGCACGTGGGGAGGCATCCTGAGGCCGGCGAGGGGCAGGACTGGGCAGGCCTTGGCAGGCAGCCCATGCTCTCCTGCCCTCCCTCGGCTGAGCTGCCGTGAGGTGGGGTGGGCCAGTGGAGACCGCTGGCTTCTGTCCGAAGCGAGTCCCCCTGCCCTGCCGCTGCTTCAGGTGCCACTCCTGTGGGAGAGTGCAGTGACCACCACCGGTCTGTGCATCTTGCCCGGCTCAGGCCAGCTCACACCTACGGGAGGGAGGGCAGGGCATGGGCACGATGGGCCCAGGGACCGTGGCCACCTGGTCACCGACCTTTCCTGGCAGGAAGCCGGGCCGGGGGCCGCCCTCCCCCCCGGGACACCCCCTCTCTCCCCTCCCCACCCCACTCCGTGCCCCTTCCACATGGGAGCCAAAGCCGGCCCTGCTGTGGTCCATGAGGCCCTGACCAGAAGCCTGATCCCGACCAGCTTTGGCCTGACCCTGGCATCTTGTCTCTGCGGGCTCCCCATGCCCTGGAGTGTCCTGCTGGAGCCTCACCTTGGGGAGGGGCGTCAGGTCCGGCCGGGCCCTGCCCTCCCTAGATCCAGGCTGGTCGGCTGCCCTGGCCTTCAGAACTGCACTGTCACCTGCTGGGCAGGAGGGACTTTGCTGATGGCACTAGGCTAAGGACCTGTAGCTGGGAGATGACCCTAGGCATCCGGGCACCCTGTGGGGTCACGGGGGGCTTTACATGGGCAGAGGGAGCCGGCTCTGAGTGAGGGTGTGGAGAGGGAAGTGGGGCTGCAGTGACATCTGGGGCCTGCGGTGTGGCCCTTCTGGAGCCAGGGAAGCAGAGGGACCTGTTCGGTCACACCCTGACCACAGCCCACTAAGGATCTGCAACTCCGGGCCTTGGAGAGCCAGGTTGTGGTCACTGGCTCAGGTCGCAGGGAGTGAGAAAGCCAGGCCCAAACCTCTCGCTTCTCAGTGAGGTCTGGGTCAGTGGCTAGGGGATGGCTGTCCACGTCCTTCTAGACCACCCTCCGGGTACATGGGTGCTGGGCCTGCCGGGGTGTCTGCCCTGACCCAGTCTCCAGGCTGATGCTGGGGCCTGGCTGGGTGTCAGGCTGATGCTGGGGCCTGGCTGGGTACCCACCATGGGGGATGGCTTTGGGTGGGGGCCAGCACTCTGCCGCTGCCTATCTGGGAGGCTGTCCAGGGGTCACACCCTCTAGGAAAGGTCATCTTAGTACTTGACAAAATGACATTGGCAGCTTCCAAGAGTGAACGGTTCCAGTTTCTGAGAGGGTGGGTAAGGTGCTGCCCCACACAGCCGACTGCAGTTTGGGCACTGGACCTGGTGGCTTGAAAATCACGCCCCGCACGTGTGCGTGCCCAAAACCCCAGGGTGGGGGGGACCAGCAGTTGGCGTGGTGGTTAAGACGCTGGACATTCCCACATGACCGACCACGGTTCAAGTCCTGGACCCGGTGGCTTGCTTTCTCACATTCTCTTTCTCTGTGTCTCTCTGGTTGAATTAAAATAAATGAATAAATAAAAATAATTATTAAAAAAAAAATCCCAAGAGGAGAACGAGGAGAAGGGACTGTGGCGTGGCCACCTCCCCGGGGGGCGTGTGCATGCCCTGCAGCAAAAACAGGCAAGGAGAGGGAGCGGTGGCCGTGACCGACCGGGAGCACTGTCTGGGCCAGAGCGGGACATGCGGTCGTGACGAGTGCCCACCTGAGTGCACGCAGATACGAATCCTAGTGGGTGCTCCGGGACAGGCTGCTGCACCCCTCTGCCCAGGCTCTGGTGCTCAATGAGCTCCAGTGGGTCGGGGCTGGGGCAGCACCTGCCACAGGCCGTGCTTGGTCTCAGTTCATGTGTACATGTCTTCCAGGAGAGAGAGACCCCCACAGGGCCCTCCAGAGATCCGCCCTGACTGCCAGCCTGGGTCCCCAGCATGATCAGGGCACTCCAGGACGTGCACTGGGACGGTCTCATGGCGCCCACCGGCGGGGCAGCTGCTCCCCTGGCCGCTCCCCTGGCCGGCGTGTCCCTAGGGCTGACACATGAGGTCACATGTTCGGAGGGGCTGGAGGGGCCTATGTGCGCCGGGCCTAGCCGGGAAAACGGGAAGGCTCGGTGTGCTTGCCAAACACCCGTGGCTGGCGCTGTGGGGCTCCAGGCAAGACGCTTGACTTCTCTGTTCCTGCATTTCCTCTTCGCTGACCTGCGGGGGGCACGAGGACCGCAGGAGCTCCAACGTGCCCACTCGGGAACGCGCAGAGGGCGTCGCGCACCCGCATGCGCGCACGGCGCCGCGGCTCTGCGAGAGCGGGAGCGGCGGGCCTGTCCGGGCGAGGACCGGCT